GCCAGGAGTACCTACCTGCAGCGCCGTTGCTCCAGCTTCGTCTTCGAGGTACCTGCAGCACAGCGCCACATCACAGGTTAGTACCTGGTTCGTAACAGTGAGAGAGAGAGGGTTCTTCTTCCTCTTCTTCTCAGTCCACYATCTCCTCCTCTCCCTCTCAACCCCTGACTTCACTGCATTTGCAGACTGCGAGAGAAGAGATACCGGGGTTGGTGATATCGGATCCAGACTCGACTTTTGGGGACTTCAGACATAGCAACGAGGGGTTATTTGGGATTGGTGACCAAGACTTGGTGTTAACGACACTCCCATCTCTCCCCCCTCCTTTCGTCTGGTCCTTACCTCTTCGTCTGTGTATGTCTGGACCTGGCGCTTTCTCCCTGTGTGCAGCGGCGCCAGGCTCCTTCACACCTGGTGAGGGATACGATGCATGTTTAGTCTGAGTTCAAACATTGATTGGGCTCGTGATTGTTATTCTAGCATTCTGCTTCGCTACTTGTACTACGTGTGTGAGGTCAGTCCTTGTCAGGTCAGTCTTTGTATCTAAGTCTTCCCTGCGCTATTCAGCACTTTTGTATGTATGAGAATGCACATTGTCTGTCGAGATTCTACTCTCACCGCATTGTCCATTTCAGTCCTTTTTATCACACTGCAGTTCCTCGGTTATTACGAACATCACATATCTGTGCATGTAACAACGACGAAGGTCAAACCACGCAGGAGGAGGAAGAAGTCGAGCCTGACTTTTACGAAGTGGCAGCGACCAGACCTCTAGTACAGCACTCCATACCTGCAGGCCCTCTCCCTCCCTGTCAGCCGGGAGTGGAGACAATGATGCAGCCTTCAACCAGCAGACTCGCTGCAAGTCTGGTAAGGCACCAGCTTGTCATCTTATGCTTCATGGTGACCCCGCAGGGCACCAAATTTATGGCGAGGAGAACAAAACAAGGCCAACTGGCCATCCCCACAGTTGCGGTCAGTTCATCCCCCACGACAAAGGACGCTGTGAAGATGGTACTTGCAACCTTCATTGCAGAATGATTTCCGTACAGGTTGGTCCCTGGCATCCGTATTGGAAGGAAGACAGTTGCAGCAGCGGCAGGGGGGAGTTGGCACTTCTCCATTGGAGTCCTTGATGCCAAAATTGGCGTCGACACAGCTGCATTATTGGCCACGCAGGGGATCGTTTGGCTGCTCTCCACGTGGCTGTCATCTACAGGAACTGAAGAGCTGCACGAAACCTTTCTCACCGAGGACGTGAATGCGAAGTTAGTGGCGGAATTTTGTGTCTCCTTGGTCACAGATAAGCAACCGCATTTAGTGGGATTCTGAAACCTGCTGCTCGTGCCATGGACTGCAGTAGCAGATACAGACACAGCCAGACGCAGGCTACCCAGGCAGCAGGACGAAGCCAACCAGTGGATCCAACCATCAGCCGCAGCACAGCACCCCAATGACCTCGCTTAGACTGGCAACTTGGAACGTGCGGGGACTGGGGGAAACCACGAGGCGCCATAAGAGGGCCCGCTTGAAGACTTTGATGCACGATCAAAATATCCAAGTACTTCTTCTCCAGGAGACCAAGCTTGACGAATCCAAAATAATGCAGCTCGGTAATTGGTGGAGAGGTGCACAACTCTGGGCCCCAGCAGATGGCACGAAGGAGGGATGTGCTATCCTTTTTCATCGCAATCTTGAGATACAAATTCTCGATAAAGATGCTGATATTTGGGGTCACTGGGCGTGGTGCACGATATAGTTGGGAGCAGATGTCTGGACGCTGATGACGGTCTACGCCCCCTCGGATCCGAGGGAGCGCTTGTCTTTCCTTGAGGAGCTACCAGCTATCGTGCCTGCTGCAGACAACCTCGTTTTGGCGGGTGACCTCAACACTGTCCTCACACCAGGCCTGGACTCGCAGGAGGTGACGGCAAGGAAAAACGATGCTGTTATGCTCTCCAGTTTTATGGCACAGCGTGGACTGGTAGACGCGTACAGGACCACTCATCCATTAGAACCAGGTTATACCTGGTTCTCATCACAGGTCATGGGTGACCGCCCCCCACCAAAGCGCAGGCTCGATCTCGTCTTGGCTGCAGGTGCCTCCTGGGATGCCCTGACGTCGGTGGAGCTGTCAATCGAGTCTATGTCGGATCACCGTCCAGTGATTGCCAATTTTATTCTACCCGACCTGTTGCCAAGAGGCCCAGGCACCTTTCGCCTCAACACGGAGTTATTAAATGATCCTAACGTCACCCAATGGGTCGCTGATCATTGGCTCAGCTGGCAAGCCGAGAAGGAAGGATTCGAGGGGGAAGAAGAGTGGCTGCAAATGGGCTTTTGCATAGTCACAAGGGCATTGGATGTGTTCTCAAGAATAAGAGCTCGAGGTAGAAGGCAGGAGGAGGAAAAATGCAGGCTCTTGATAGCAGAGGCGGAAGCTGAGTTGGACAAGCGGCCTCTGACTGAGTTATATTGGCAACACAGGCGGGATCACTGGCTTCAGCAATTGGAGGCCATCCAGGTCGAGCAACAGACACTATGGGCCAGAAGAGCACAGGAGAAGGGTATGGCTACAGGTGACCGGATGTCTAAAGAGACTTTCCAACGCATCTGCCCACCACGAGCGCACAGCCTGATGCGGGAGATGCAGCACCCGTTTCACCAGGAGGCCGAGTTGGCAAGAGATTCATCAACAATTGGGGAATATGCTCTTATCTATTTTAGGGATATTTTAACGTCAAGAAGACCTGACAACACACCGCTTCAGCAACTGAAGGAGGAGCATGACCTGTGGCAGCACACTCCCACAGCACTCTCGCAAGCAGCCAGCAACCTTCTTGAGGCGCCCTTCACATTGGACGAGCTACACCAGACTGTTAAGTGTATGGCAAAGGGGAAGAGCCCCGGGTCAGACGGTCTCCCAATCGAATTTTATGAGATAACCTGGGAACACACCGGTCCGATCTTGCTCGAGCACTACAACAAGTTGGCGCAGGGAGGCAAGTTAACCAATGACATGAAGCTGGGCATTATCACATTGATATACAAGAAAGGGGACAAATCCAATGTCCGAAACTGGCGTCCGATATCCCGACTAAATGTCTCCTACAAAATCCTCGCCAAGATGATGGCAAGAAGACTGGCCCCGTTTCTGCCAACACTGGTCCACCCAGACCAAGGGGCCTTCGTCCAGGGCAGATCGATCGTGGAAAACATGCTGATGGCAGCCGGCGCTCTAGAGATTATTCAGAGGGAAAACATGCAAGTTTTGGTCGCGATGCTTGACCTGGAGAAGGCCTACGACCGAGTCAACTGGTCGTTTGTGCTGGCCACGCTGGAGCATATGGGTTTTGGCCCGATGTTTAGACTTTGGGTGAGGGAACTATACAGAGACTCGACAGCGACAGTTAACGTCAATGGTTTCCTCTCGCAAACCTTCACGCTGACACGCTCCCTTCGCCAAGGCTGTCCACTCGCTTCGCTCCTCTTTGCGCTGCAGATGGAGATCCTCTTGAATGCACTCCGAGCTTCCCCTCGAATCACCGGCTTGGACCTGGGGGAAGGTGAGGAAATGCTCATAGGTGCCATAGCAGATGACCTCCTTCTTGCTATGGAAGCCACAGAGGAATCCCTCTACGAAGCTAAGAGCATTTTGGACTGTTATGCCCAGCTCTCGGAGGCCCAAGTTAACTGGGGGAAGTCTATTTACTTCCTCCCAGCAGACTATGAACTCCCGGGGCTAGACTGGGGGATGCAGCGTATCGCTCCGGACATCTCGGACCGCTATCTTGGAATGCAGGTCTCATTGGTGAATGCACGTCCCAAACAACAAGCTATCCTCGTAGACAAGACCAAGGCCAGCCTGCAGAAGTGTCGGACTGCAGTTGGCATCTCACTACTAGGGAGAGCTATGCTGCTTACGTCTGCGGTATTCGCACAGATATGGCATGTGGCAGCAGTCTGCCTCATCAGCAGACAAACAGCGAAGCAGATAACGGTGGAGGCGGCCAAATATCTGTGGAAGCCCACTGCATTAGAGGGGCAGGGATTTGCTTCAAAATGTGCCTGGTCCAAAGTATCCGCCAAGAAACAGCAAGGAGGCCTGGGGATCATTGATCCCTATAAACAAAACCTTACCTTGCTTACAAAATGGCTCCAAAAAGCCTCTACGCAGGAGGAACGAAGGACGTGGCAACCTGTGTTGGAGTACATCCTGCAACATGAGCTCCACCTTGCCAGGAAGAATGATGTCTGGGCTACCATCTTCATGTCATCGTACAGACGCAGACAGCTCCAGTCGCACCTCACCGGAGCCTGTTGGACTGCTTGGCGAACWCTTGCTCCTGCTGGTGTRAAACCTCCAAYCACCAAAGATGAAGTCTTGGATCAATTACTCTTTGATAATACAGAAATACGAAGTACGCACGGTCACCCCTTTGCTGCAACTGCAGCGCCGGGCTCCTTCGGTAGACGTTGGACGGAGAGGGGCGTAACAAGGATCTCATATTTGTGGGAGGAGGACACAAAGGTATGGACTTCGACAGAAAAGCTCAAGCGTAAACTGAGAGGGCTGCAGCTGATTGAGAAAAGGCGACTTCAACTCACCGGTGCCATCCCACCGGAGTGGGTAGACCTTCTCACTACCGAAGCCCCAACTGAAGGTGAATGGTACCGGCACACGGAAGAGTTGGGGGAGACCTCCATACTCAGGATCGCCGAGCAAGTAGACGCCAACAGCTGGGAAGCACAGGAGTGGAAGCCAGGCGAGGACCTGAAGCACCCCAACAGACTTAGGCCTGGAGACAGCTGTGCCATATACACATCTGCAGGCCTGCAGACCATATGAGTACTGATGACAACCCGCAGAGGCATCACCACTCACGACCTGCTAGCGGGAGGAGTGCCAATCAGGAGACTCAAGATTGACCCGCAAGGGCATTACTGGGAACTCACAGCACAGAGGAGGTTTTTCCTATACCAATTCACAACCTAATTGGGGCGAGCCCTCTTGTCCAAGGACGATGGACTGCCAGCAGCCGTGGCGAATTCCTTCAACAGGCAAGTGAGGCACCAAGACCAAATCTCCCCAGGGGAACTGAAGATCTTATGGGCTCAACTCCCGGCTCTCCCCTCGCAGAAGCTGGCAGGACTCCTCTGGCTCCTCTCCCATGCGGCAGTCCCATCCTCTGTTYGCCTCTATGAAAGAGGAATGGACATTGAAACCAAATGCAAACGCTGCGGCAGCAAAGAAGAAGAGTCTCTTACTCACCTCTTCTGGGACTGCYCTGCCTCCAAACGTATTTGGAGATGGTGGGAGCATCATTGGCTGCAGTTTACCGGGGTTCTGCTGAAATGGGATGAGGCATGGGTACTTCATGGCAGCATACCACCGACCTGGTTTAAGCACATAGGGAGAGGCTATGTCGCGCAAGCAATCCGATCCATCCTGATCTGGATCATCTGGGAGGATCGCAATAATGTCCTCTTTAAGCAGCAATGGACAGCAGATGCGGAACTCAAGGCCAAAACCAAAGCGTGGATCAGAGCGATCATCCAGGTTGATTGGAACAGGAAGGCTGCGAGGCATGAATCTTCCAGGGGAAGGCACTGGTTCCTTGTTACTTGGGCAAGGGACAACCAGCTGGCGGCAGTCACACTCGAGGGAAGAATGGTTATTTCGTCATAGCTAATGTCGTAGGTCAACAAATAGAGGTGGTTGTGGTGTTAGGCGAGAATTGTGCTGTTACAGAACCAGGACACTCGGTTCCTGTGGGCGGTCGAAGTAGACTGCAGACGGTTGGGAGGGTGGAGAGTGTCAAGTCCGTCTCCCAAGGAGCACCATCTCCCCCTGGTCGACAGTAGGCCAGGGTCAGGCCGTTCCTCTTTAGGCCTGTATATTTCTGTTCACCCCCCTTCTCTTCTCCCCATCTCCCTTCTTCTCTCCTTCTTTCCCTTAACACATAGCGAGAAACCCCGTCTCTCCCCCCCTCTCTGACTCCTTCCTCACACTCACTCAACTACTGAGCCTGCAACTTTCGGTAGACTTGTGTTTTATGATAATGGTGATA